GTACACTTATACCCCAGAGTATCCTCTTTCTAATGGTGAAAAGATCAGCTCGCTAGCTGCATCCGTTCTGGAGATATTCCTCTCAGAGTTTTCCTCATCTACTTCTGGCGCCGACAATAGTAATAAGTTGGTGTAAGTTATAGGTTCTAACATCTGAACAAGGAGGATTCTTTTTAGCTATTTTTTCCTAAAGGAAAGATTTTAAGAGAGAATAACACTATTTGATAAAATCTGACGGAAGGTAGCTAAGGCCAAAGTAGTCTAAGTTCAATAAGATTCTAGAAATGACTTACTCAATTTTTTCAATTACAAAAATTCAATTGTAAGTACAACGGAAGAATAAATACACTGTTTGGAGGAACCAGTTACAGATTTCGATTGAATCATCTATAATGCTCTTAGTTACACACTAAAGAATCGTAGATTTTTCAACATCACACATCTTCACTGATAAGTGAGGTATATGATTTAGTGGGCCTATTCGTCGATGTTCATTGTTGATCGGATACTAATCTCAGTAAAGCACTGGTGACCGCATCAAAGCATAAGACTCAGGTAGGTATCTATTGGAGTGAAAAGTGCTGCTTGTCTGTACATGGGACTGTAGCTAGTATCGCAAGACATCTAAATTTTATGAATCGAAAGATATGCTTTCAGATATGTAGAATTTTCATTTTTGAACACGACAAATCTCCATTTTTTGATAATTGAAAAAGTTATATGGAATGCCTAGATTCTCTTTTTGTAAAGAATAATTCTGCGAAATATTATTTTACTATTTATTTTGAAGCATTTTAAAAGAAAGGTGATATTTTGGAGTCTCTAGATTTTCTTATACTGACATTTTCTATTAGGGGTTCAACAGCTCGTTGTATGTGTTTATCATGTTTTTTGAGATTTATGTTTTTCTATTTTGACGATTACGTACTTAAAGCGTCATAACAGATATTGAAAACCAATAATTGACTTTATTTCTCGAAGAAAATGTTTAAAAAACATGAATTTAAGAGAAAAAACACTAATATATATAGCTAAAGACATCAGCATTAAGATGAATCAAATAAAAAGTTTTCAGTAAAATAAAATTTCATATTCTATAGTTCTTGATAATCAACAAAATTTTATTAGAATATTTTCCAGTTACAATTATACATAATGATTTGAGAGAAATAGAATGAAATTCAACAATTACAAACTGATCCTTTACTTTGAGATACAAGAAAAAAAATAGCAAATTATTTTATAAATGAACAGTACAAATTGGGATATACGTTAAAATAATAAACGCAATGTACAATATGGCAAAATTGTGATATTAAAATAAAAAATACAATGTACAAAATGACATGATAAGTGAACAGTTCTAAATATGTATTAAAAACATTTCACCTAGATAAATAGTACAAATCAATGATCATGGTAGAACGTTTCTGTGGATAAACATCATCATATATCAAATTTTTTACGTATTTTTCACATTGATTTTTTTCAACGTCGCTGAGACCTATATGTGCTGCTGGATCAAAAAATGCATGACGCTAAAAATTAAAAAACCAATATCAATAAAAATCAAAAACTGTAAAATATGTTTTGGCTCGTCAAATAGAAAATTGAACTATTCAAGTTACTTTTGTATCTGAAACCACGAGTGACTGATCAATTTTTAATTTTGTATCCGATCTTGCAGTAAAATAGGTTTAAGTATAACTGATAACCTTTTTAGTTAGAAATCAGAGACAACGAATTAAACAGTTTTGAATAACAGAATAGCTACATAGAGCCTCACACTATAAGATGGGACGATTGAACTTTCATCTTACAATGCAAGGTTTCATATGTAGACTTTATTATAATTTTAGAAAAAATTTCGTATTTCCGCTGTGGAATCATTCCCATTTTGTGTAATTAAATTCCAGTGTGTACTGACGAGAATGCTATTTTAAACTATCTTCATGAGAAATATATGACCTTCGTAGATGTGATGTACTTACGAAGTGCAAAGTACTTTTTTCATTGATATTTATAAATTTTCCATTCGGACAATAGGTTTTATTAACAATAATTACAAGTAAACTATATGAGTGAACTCATAGATATTTCCAAAATACCAGCTGTTAAAAACTCATGGTGAAAATTTTTGCTTCTCTCTCATACTACTTTCATGCACAGTAGATAAAAGTTTGTGATAGTTTCTCCTGATCACATAAATCGGAGCTTTTAAATGCTATATTTTAAAGATTCTATTTGTTTAAATAAATTTACAAAAATGAGTATAGTATTGTACACATTCATACATATATTTTTTTGAAAGTTGTCTGATGATGTATGTAGTTTATGTCTTACCCGAAAGTATTGAAACTGTTCAATATCATCATAAAAATATTTATATAATTTGGCCAATAATAATTTTTTTAATTCTTTAATGTGATTATTTGATGTGTTTCCATTGGAACAAAAGTGTTTTATTTTGTGTACAGCATGATAAGCAAGTCCAGTTGATGGATAATTCTTTCCAGACATCATGACAGTTCCCAAATAAAAGGGTCTTAGTACATGATGTAATGAGGATAAAAATCCCAGTCTTGATTATTTAATTCAATCATGGCCAATTTATCAAGTTGAACTTGACTTAAACTTAATGTTCGTTTTTCATTAAACAGCTTCATCATTACTGGTTTAAGATCAATAAAAGCATCGAGTAAAATATATGTTGAATTCCATCTGGACTTGCAGTCATTATTTAATGTCTTATTAACTTTAATAAGTAGTTGATTCGTACGAATAAAATTTGAAACAATCGACGACTTTTTTGAAAGAGTAGCTAGAATTCGACGTTTTTTCAATAAATCCATTATTAATTCAACTTCGTTTGTCGTAGGAACATTAGTATCGATGTCAATCGACCAATTGTCATCAATTAAATCTAATTTTTGTTCATCATCATCTATTGATTCAACATTTACAATTGTAGCACTTATAGCTTCAGATGTTTGATCTGTATCAAAATTATTAATTGAGCCTGCAGAATGTCCACCAGTAGCATCACCAATCGTTTCATCAATTAAAATTTCATTTATACATTTTCAAAAGAAAGAAAAGTTAATGCCCCTTTATATTATGCTTTCTTTTTCACTTCTCTATTTGTTTGTTAAAACTACTAGAAAAACATGACACTCATGAATGAAAATTTCGATTTTTCTAGTAGACAAAAGAAAAATAAATTGAATCTAAATAATAATTAGTTTCGGAGAAAATACGAAAACACAGAACTTGCTTCAGAATGTTGATAGTTCGGAGTTATCGTTGAGAGAAAAAAAGTCAGACATGCTGGACTACCATAGAAAATCTATATTAAATGACTAATATTATGTAAGAACTGGTTTCAACGAAAGTTCAATCTAAAGTTTCGTACATCATTATTTCTCCTAAATTTAGTCCAAGAGTCGTTTCAAGAATGAAATTTTCATCAACAATATTTTAAAATAAAGTGCTAGTCATCTAATATATATATTTTCATGGTAGTCCAGAACATCTGACTTTTTCCCCAACGATAACTCCGGACTATCAACATTCTGAAACAAGGTCTGTGTCTTTGTATTTTCCTCGAAATTAATATTTGTTTACATTCGATTTGTTTTTCTTTTGTCTATTAAAAAAAAATCGAAATTTTCATTCATGAATGTCATGTTCTTTTAGTAATTTTAAGAAGCAAATAAAGAAAAGAAAAAAGAAGATAGCAAGGGAGATAACGAACATATAATGAGCCCATTATTTTAAAGAGAAAAAGTCTAAAAAGAAATTTTCATGAAACTATTAGCAAGTCGTAAAATTTAATATTAAACGAAAGTACTAATGAAATAAAATATATATCTGTTTCATTTTCATCAGACAAACTTGTATCCATTAATTCTTGTCGGTTATTCGAAATAACATTAGAAGATGAAGTAGTTGTTGTTGTAATTTCTGTTGTTAAACAATTGTTGGGAGTATTATCAATTTTGTTCTCTGTATTCCAAAAACCTAAACTATTAATTACTACCAGGTGTAAACGATGCGTACAGCACCAAATTCTTTTAATTGAGCCGTCAAGTTGACTACAGACCGACACCAAATTTTCACCACCATCACATGTTATAGCAACTACTTTATGGTAAATACCTAAGCTTTCCAATTTTTCTTTAACTGAACGTGAAATATTAAATCCTGTGTCTCCTTCGTGGAAAGAAGAAAAATAAATGACTTTAGAAAAATATGCACATTTGTCATCGAACCAATGACCTGTAATACATAAGAATGAAACAGAACGACGGCTTGTCCAAAAGTCAAATGTTAAACCAATATAATCAATATCTTGTAATTATTCTTTTAGAACTGTTAAATGAAAATCATATAAACGTTTCAAATTGTTGGAAACTTGATTTCGATGAGGAGGTATATAATCTAGAAAATAGATCATAGATAATAAGAATATTGATACAAAATAACAATAA